TTATGATCTTATCACCCTATTAAAAACAAATAATCTGACAAAGTGACTGTTATTTGTAATAAACTACATATCCATTACACCTCTGAAGGAGACAAGGTTTACTCTGCAGTCTTGTGTCTTTGGGGGAAGTCTGATCCAACTTGTTTTTCAATAAATGTAGAAACAGATTTCTTACTTCACCTCTTCCAAACTTCTGCCTTTCTTCCATACCCCTGCAAATCTACTTGAATCATCACACACAAAAAAATGAATGCTAGTTGACTACATTCTAAGTGACTAAATAGTGGAGCTGGACAGAAATTTTGTACCAATGCTAATCATGATGGAGGAGAAAGCACAAGTGCCTGGGCTTTGTGGTACCTAGAAACTTACTCAGTACATTTAATATAATCAGGGATCAGTGACAAATATATTTGATGGACTGATACGGAGAGATGGGCAGGAGAAGGCGTCCCTGGAGAAACATTTACATGAAGTCTTTTTCTACTATTAGAAACATGTCTATGACTTTGCATCTTTAAAAATCCATTATTCCCTGGATAAGTTAAATAGAAGACTTGCAACTAGTCTATAGAAAGGGTGGCTAATTTGCATTTAAAAGGAACAGTTTGCTTCTTATACTGGGGTGACTTAAAAGGAACTTCAATGAGCTAGTAAAGAAATTCTGAAGACTTTCTAAATTAATTTATTCAATTCACAGCACAGCCCACTAAAATTATTTAAGCACTTAATTGGAAAATGATTTAATATGTTGGAGTAATTCCTGATTTTCCAAAGCATTTAACTATTAAATTAAATCTGACCCTACTATCACAAGAATGACAAGTGAAATGTGTATCCAAGTCATTACCTTCCTTTTGGAGCCTAAAAGCACTGATATATTTAATAAGATTTGTACAGTTTCATTGCCAAAATGGTTTTGACCTTTTGGTTCTGGTAACTACTGTGGAATATGTCTCTACTCTCCAAGATAGAACTGCTACTTTATTTTTTTTTATTAGTAATAATATTCACGTTGTAAGCAAAATAAAACGTAACAAACACAATACTTGCATGTAAAGGCAAAACAGATTTTAGACTAAAAGAATTATGTTATCAGCAAATAATGAAACTTACAACGCGAACTTCTCCGCGCTTGCCAAAGTTCCCCCGTACCTTTCAACTTGCCCCTAGCTAAAGGGCTCCCTGCAGGAGGAAAGCCTTTCTGCCCTGCCCGACACACCAGATTTCCCCCTTTTCCAACCTGCTTAAACATCACTGGCACACAGCACAGTCCTTTCAGCAAGCTTTTCCACGGGGTGATGTCTGTGATTCATTTAACTCACAGCTGTGTGTATGTGTGTGTGTCTGTGTCGTGTGTGTGTGTCTCTGTGTGTGTGTGTGCGCGCGCGTGTGTGTCCCGACTGACCAAGACTCGGAGCTTTGAGCCGGTCGCGTGGTGGGAAGCCCAGGATCTGAGGATGCACAGCGCTGAATACCTCTGTATCAGGTTAAAAAGCTGTTTGGTGACGACTTGCCACTAGGCAAGTGTTGGGAGTCCCAACGATTTTTCCCGTGGAATTCAGCGAGGGGTGGGCACGGAAGTGCCTGCATAGGCTGTGAGTACATGCGGGTTTACCACCAAGCGAGAGCTGGACGTCCGAAAGGCCCGCCCCGCGTTTCAGAGAACTCAATTCTCCCCGCCAGTGTTCACCCAGCAGGACTGCTTAGACACGTCCAACAAGCCCGAGGCGGGGACAGCAGTGGCCCCTGTATCCTCCCTCTCGGGGATGAGAGTTTGAGAAGCCGGGAGAGTAACCCCCTCAACGTCCTATTCGCGGGCCACGCCGAGCTCCGTAGCAGCCCCGGCCGGCACACCAGCTCCGGGTCACCCGCATGGTCCGCCTCGTCCCCTGTCTTCAGCCCTGGCACGGGGTCAGCGAGCCATGGGCAGAGCCCAGCCTGGGACCTTTTTCCAGCCCCGTGCGGACTGCGGGAGCTTTGGACTTGAACGCGACAACGCTAGCCTGGCTCCCAACAAACTTGCAATTTCCGCGCGGGCCCCCAAAAGAGGAGCTGTCCCCCAAACCGTGACCCGGCTGCCCCGCAGCCACCTGGCCCGCGGACCAGCGTCCGAACACGGGGCTCGGCCGCCCGAACCGGTTTGAGAAAACAAAAGAGCTGTGGAGCAATTATCCCGGCGGGGGGCGGGGGCGACTCCCGGGTCCCTGCACCCCGACTCCCGGCTGCTCCCCTGGCAATTAATCCCGGGCAGCGAAGCGGTGCCGCGAGCCCCCGCTGCCCGGGAGAGGGAAGGAGGGAGAAGGGGAAACTGGGAAATAAACTGAATTCTCCTCTGCCTGCGTTCCGGACCCCAGACACACCCCCAAAGTATTCCGTGGTTTTCTCCCTCTCCCTCTCTTTTCTCTTTAAACGCCCCCCGGCAAACCTAGGCAGCGATCCTTAGTCGCGAACAGCAGGAAGGAAAGAATCCGAGCAAATCGTGTCACTTTCCGCACAATCGCGCTGTTTGGCAAACCCCCGGAGCTGCTCCACAATATTTACTACCCGAGCGCACGCAGGGCTGCGGCGGGCTGCGAGCCGAGCGCGCCCGGGACCGGCC